AACATTTTCATTTATTTGTAACTAATGTGCTAAGTGTCCAAAAACATTGCATCCAGTTCACACTTAAAGGAGAACTCCGGCGCAAAATGAACCTTTGGTCTAATTACACATTGTTACATAGTCAACCGTTATCTGAGATTTGTTTTCATGATTATCGAATGTAAATAGTTTTATCTCTACAAACAGTTTAGCCTATAAAGCTAGTATAACGCTAGTATATTGGGCATAGTGTAATGACAAATAAAAATCGCTTGTTAATACCACTAACAAGGCTCAAAATAGCCCCACACTAGCACGGTAGCATAATGAGGGTCCCTACCTTCAAACCGAAGCATTGAGAACTTTGTCAGTGTCCAGACAGTTTAATAAGAAGATATTTTAAACATACAGTCAACTTCGCGTATACAGGCAGGAGCCATCTTTGAAATACAGCCTTTACCAGTCGATCTACGAACGCCGATCCAAGCCTACTGTTCGCGCTCACCTTATCACAACTTATAGCTCGTTCACATTCTCACCAGCGCACTTGGATCGCGTTCGTAGATCGACTGGTAAAGGCTGTATTTCAAAGATGGCTTCTGCCTGTATACGCGAAGTTGACTGTAGAGATTGTAGAGATAAAACTATTTACATTCGATAATCATGAAAACAAATCTCAGATAACGGTTGACTAGGTAACAATGTGTAATTAGACCAAAGGTTCATTTTGCGCCGGAGTTCTCCTTTAAGTATATATTTGTAAGTTATTTCCATAAAAGTGTTCTAGAGTATACTTCTTTTTCACATGGGATTTCATATTACAGGTCATAATTACAAATGTAAATATAAGGTTTGAAGCAATACTCCAGTGAGAGAAGAGTAAAATAAAGTGGCACACTTTAAAGTCTAAAATAACAGACAGAGAGCTGCAATGGAGGAAATGGGTTAATAGGTCGTTTCCATATGTTTACAGGCAGCCGGCTGTCCATGATAACCTTCCTGATAACCCGGATGAATCCCCCATACTCCATCTTAACACGCCCTGCACATGTATGACCACCACATTTCAACCATACATGCTATTATCCTGAAAGAATTCATAGCTGAAAGTCTCCACTTACACTCCATTGTTTGGATATCACCCCTCCTACAAATTTCGGTCAATAATTTGCTAAGGTGACATTACCCTGTGCTGACCTCACTGTCAGGTTCTTTGTGTTACACCAAAATATGTAAATCATCTAGTGTTTGGTCAGTGCAAATTGCATTGACTATTGAATTTTTCAGTACTTAGTTGAATATTACGTTTTTATGTCTTTGTTTGGTTGTCAATCAATATTGAAAAAAAAAAACAATGTTCAAAAATGTTCCACTCTTACGAAATAGCTCAGGGACAAGATATAATAATTTTTTTGTGATCAACGTAATGCCACATATCCTGTCACTTGAGCTTGTATTGAACCCAGAATATTCCTTTAATATAGACTGAAATGTAAATTGATCAAAAGCCACTCAGGCCTATTGTAATTTTTTTTTTTTTTTTTTTTTTTTACATTTTACAATGACCTGAATGAATAAAAACCTTCCCTGACACATTCTTTCCTATCACTGGATGTGAGGCTATTGGATTTCAAGCATAATTTGGGCAGGTTTGGCCTAAGGATCTGTGGCATCTGCAGCGGTTCATTCTTCAAGATGGAAGAAAGGAAGGAAGGCCGTGACGCAGAGCACACACTCTCCCAAAGGAAAGATAAGACTGCTCTGGGACAGTGCTCAAGTGGGAGTCCTGTCCTTTGACGAAAAGCTGTTTTGTAAATGGATCTGCTCTTATCAAGCGTGAAGAATTTCAGAGCCACCTTTGTTTCACTGCTGTTGGCTTATGCACAGAGTGTGCACTCAAAATCAAATTAAAAGCAATAAAGCATGAGTTGACTTTTTTTTCAGCAAAGCTCATTTATGTTCATTGATCATGCATTACTAAGATTGCAGAAAATGTTTCTAAATGAACATGTGTTAGATTAACTTTAAGAATTATGTTTTTAAATGTATAATCCAGAAACACACTTTATTACACATTGTGAAGCACTGTCTTCAAATTGCTTTTCCGAATTAAACCATTGGGAAAAGCGGGAAAGTATTAATAGGCAATAAAATAATTGAGCCTGGAATTAATACAGATCAGAAGTGTAGACCGTTAATTACAGAATGTGAAACAAATCAAGAATAGTAAGTATATGTTTATAAGAGTTTCTCCTTATAAATGCAGCCGCTGCACTACACAATAAGGGTTCAGCAGCCAATAGCAGGGGCAGGCTCACCTAGTTTGAACTCATCTGGGAATCAAAGAAAAGCAACTCTCTACTGACACTTTGTGGTTAATTCAGACCATTGCATTAGATGTGTTGTTGAAGAACAAATCTATCTATCTATCTATCTATCTCTATAAATAAATAAATATAGTGTATATATATGCAGTGCTGGGTATAGTAACTGATTTTATATATATATATATATATATATATATATATATATATATATATATATATATATATATATATATATATATATAAATTACAGGAACGTCTGTCTGTCTGTGTCTGTCTGTCTGTTATTCGCATATCTCTCGAACCGTTAGTCTGATGGATTTCAAACTTGACAGGTGTCTTGTAAGTGTAAGTCCAGAGCCAAGTTTGACGTGTTTTCCTATATTTTCTAGCCTGGGAAAACCCAGACAACTTCCGGCAAATTTAGATTTGCTCTGAAAGTTAGTCTGGCAAAGAGCTCATTCAAGCCCATTTCCAATCCGTCGAAATCGCGGCACCAATCAGAAACGTATGGGCGGGCTTTACACGATGACGACAGCGCTGGGATTTTGAAGCAGATTTTGTAGCCTACATTACAAAGATGGATGCCGCCGTCGAACATCACTCGTTCGAATCAGCTATCGTGTCTGTTTTAAGCGATTTGAATGTTTCCTTATAGTTAAAAACCGAGCAAAGAACAACACTCGGAGATGTTTCTCCACCGCTCTGCATACGTCATCTCCTTCATCGCTCTGATTGGGTTTAGGTCTATCCGCGACGTCCGTTGGTGACGCCCCTCTGGAAATGATTTATCTATGACGCTTTGTCAGACCATAACTCAGTTACAACTGACAATGGTCTGGTTTTAACCAGGCTATATATTTTCTAATATTTTCAATGATAGTGAACTAGATAGGGAGTAAACTAGATAGTGTACACTAGATAGTGCACTAGATAGTAAGTACACTAGATAGTGTACACTAGATAAAGTACACTAGATAGTGCACTAGATAGGGATACATGCATTTTGCGGAAAAACATTGTTGAGGTTGCGCTTCGGCTCTGTGTGACTGTGCGGATGAATATGGATATTCTACTGCTCATAAAACATTCATTACTATAGATGTATAACCAGTTTAGATATAAAAGGATCTCAAGCTAGTAATGATAATAATCAGATTCCAGACAGTTGAAATATATTTCCAAATGAAAATAGCGAAAATGCATTTGAATGTGTGTGAAGTTTCAGGCAATTTGCCAAAAATAACTTATACCCTTGGACAAAGTCAGTTATAAATGACGACACGGCACTCTAAAAAAAAGGTCAAAGGTCAGATGTAGAGGAAAACTAATTTTTTTTGGAAAAGTTTAGTCTTAAATGTAAAATATAAAGGCTTTTTTTTTCTTCTTTAGCTGGGATTTCATAACGAGTCCCACTGAGGGTTAAACTTTTGCCTTTACGACGATATAAAATTGTTTATTAATGCTATGTTGCTTGGCAACCGTTAACGTCATAACGTACTATGGGAGGAATAATTGTTTATTATTGTGAACAAACGGAACATTTTCAGGTTCAGGTTCGTTACGTAAGTGATTTTAACCTGAGCAAAGTGTGTTTTGGGCACGACATGAAGCGGAGTCACCTCTCGTTACTCGTATTAATAATAATTTCCCTTTCATATCAGCCTATATAGCTAATTTTACATTATTGTGACATTTATACGAGCAATGTGAGACCTGGCAGAACGTGACGAAGGTAACGTTAGTGATTCGAGCTCTGACCATCTACATATCATCTTTATGCCACAGGTTTGACTTTTCCACTTCCAAGTCAAGAGCTGTTCAGTTATGAAACTACCTCAGGAATTGCATATGGGTTTTTAGAATAGCGGTTTTCAATTCAGTAAGTTAAGGTTGCACGTTTTGTTCTACGACAGAAATGATACTTTACTGTGTAACTTAATTACAATTACACTCATAGTCATTCATACAAGGATAATCTGAAGCGCAGCCGTTTCTAAAATGTAAAGTTGCCCAAATGACGTTCTTTGAAAAACCCCATCGATTAAAAAAGCTAATTCTCCTCAGGGTGTTTGTTAGAACTGAACAGCTCTATACATACAGTATGTGTGTGTGTGAGTGTGTGTGTGTCGGATAGATCAAACAAACTTGTCACGCTCAACATCCACATTCCTCTTTGTTGCACCGAATGAACTGTACTTTCGCGGGAAATATCAACTAGGCTGTTTGCATACGCACCGCAGTAAAAGGGTTTCAAAATAATTCATCTCAAGCTCTTATACTTGTTTAAAAGCTTGCCTACATAAAGAAGCAATAGCGAGTCTTCAGAATTGTAATTCAACGGTTGATAGCAATATGTTTATATAGTATTGCAATAATAGCGAGTCATTAAACGACCAAAGTTTAGACGTCCACCCCTCCAAATGTGAGCTGTAATGGTTTCGTCCACAGTGGCGCGAAACGCCTCGCGCCCTATTGCAAAGTTTCACGTTACATGCGCGCGGTTGGTGTATCTGCTGGCGGTGTGTTTGGAACTCATGTGCTTTTAGGAGAGTGTTTGTGTAATTTTTGTTTTTTTTGCAAAGAAAAGGCCCCGTTTCGGGTACATTTATGGTATTTGCATTCCTTTCTGCAGTTACAAAACGCATTCTTATTTTTGTTGTGTAAGGCGTTGTTACTTAATCGGGTCATTAGTTAGACATATTTGCTTTACCTACTGAACTGCACTACAGTTCGATAAGGTTTCGGAAACGTTTAATTCTACACCTAGTTTACCCAGAAAGCTGCAGAAATGAGTGGGTAAGTGCATTCTTTTTGCATGAAGTATAAGGTGTTGGTAGAGCCATATGCTTTAATTGACTTCACTCTCACGTTGCAGCATTGTCAAAGAAGAGACCCGCAGTGTTTCTCCCCACTGCCCCAAACCAAATGAATCCGAAGAGCCAGAAGGTACAGCAGTGGAGGAGACCACTATGGGTGGGTAAAACTGATCACACACATTCACAGTAAATCCTCTAGAGACGTTGGCAGACCTGTCTGTGCAAGTCCATGCAACATTCAGTTGATCTCCTGCATGTTACAGAAAAAAGCCAGCCTGGAGAGATGGTTATTACCAAAGAGATGGAGGAGGAGGAGAAGCATTTAGTGGAGGAGGGAGAGAAGAAAGAAAGAGAAATGATGGAGGAGGTAAACCATTCTATAAATGACCTTATTTAAATTGATATGATTCCACACTTGTGGAAAACCTGGAAATATAAGGGAAATTTAGACATAGATCCTGAAAAAGTTTGGATATTTAGTTGTGTTCAGCTCCAAAATGTAATTGTCTTTATGAGTGCAACTGCAATCCCTATTAAATTGTATTTTCTTATCCATTAATAACATGCTGTAAATGTAATGGAAAAGACATTTAAAATGTATAGACCCTTAAGGCTCTTGAGTCTTGTATCTGTTGCAGTGTTTTGCACAATGCACTATTTTTATAAATTGAAAATAATTTATACTCCTAAAAAAACTATAATAATGCTGTTTTAACAGGCCAGGCATACGTGGGAAAAAGATTCTCAAGACATGCGTTTTAAAAGACTTCAGCACCTTTTGGAGAAAAGCAACATTTACTCAAAGTTTCTGCTCACAAAGATGGAACAACAGCAGCAAGAGGTACGTCGTGTGTTCAAAAGACAGGAAAGAGTTGTCTTGCAGGAGGTTTATGATTTCCGGACATAAATCTTACTTGAATGTGTTTATCTGAAATGAATTGTAACATGGTGGAATGGCACGGATGTTGATGTGTGTGAGCAGAGAACTGTGTGCCAATCAAATGCCATAGTTGCTGTGCACCACCTGCCCCTGTTGTACAGCGACTTTAAAGGCATTTAAGACCAGCCTTTTTTCTTCACTCTTCATTGAAGTGTCAGCATAATCAACATTATGTACAATCTTATTGATTTCTCCATTTTAATTCAGAAATTAAAAACTTTTTCTAAAAATGCAGGAAAAACTTAGAAAAGAGAGACTGGAAAAGAAAGCTTCTAGTCAGAAGCAAAAGGTAAGTGTGATCCTGCTTTATAACAACATTTTGACCCATTTAGGTAAAAGTAAAGGTGAAATTATTGATTTTCATGTCTTCTGCAGGGCAATGATAAAAAGACCGTAAAAGGTAGGCCCCTCAGATTGCATTTCAAAGAAGTGAGTTTATACAGTGTTTGGTGTGCATTACATTATTCTGTTTATTGTTACATGTGAAGTTGAGAGAAAGAAGCGTGAAAGGGAGGAGGATTACAAAATCGCAGATGTCATTTCCAAAGAGGTGAGTCTTCAATTGTTTGTTTTTATGACACCAAAAAAATTTATTTTAATTACTGATGTGGATTTTTCTCTCTTTTAAGGAAATTCTGTCAAAAGCTAAAAAACCAAAAATGGAAGAGGTAAAGTTTTATTCTTTATGGCTTTTGTTTTCAGGCATGTTCCAACTCTGTGCGCACAATTATACTTGAGTATAATTTGAGCTTTAGTCAAAAATAGCCTTTCAAAGTATACTTCATTTGATAGCGTGCCATGCACAAACACATGCGGTCAACATTAGGGCTGCCACCGGCTAAAGTTTATCCTAGTCTGCTTTTAGTTGTTCATGTAACTTATTTTTTGGGGGTGAAATTCTAAACCATAATAATGAGCATTTAAAATGCGCTTTAAATTTGTGCTCCAGCACGTGGATAAAGTTTGTCACAGCGTCACCGATAAACATCACTTGACCTTTACTGAGATCAGAATGCATACAAATAGATAGCCTAACATATAAATAACAGCCTTATCTTAAAAAAAAAAAAAAACTAAATTTAATGAAAATATTTTTAAAATGTAGGGCATAAATATAAATTATAAACAAATAAATATACAGCAAACTGAAACACTTAAGAGAAATATCAGTGCAAACATTATCAGACCAACGGACAAGTAGCCTTAACATTGAATGAAAACTCAAACAAAATAAATATAGGGTATATAAAAATGAATCAATAAAATATATAGTCATATATAAGTCATGTTTGAGGTTTCACATTTCACAGTGTCTACACAAGTTATGAGTGATTAAAAAATGTCTTTGTGCATGTTTAAACTACAGTTGTATTTATCTCTTTACCCCCTGTGATCTACTGTTCTTGGTGTCTCCAGTAATAATTTGTTTTTGTCTCCATTTCTTTCTTGACTGTGAAGCCAATAACATTTTGCGCACAGTTAGAAAAATCAAGCTGTGCGCCTACAGTATGCATGTACTGTGCTGTTGACAAAATTTGTGCCATGCGCACTGTATGCATACCCTAAGCGTACGCGTAGAAAACGTATACTTTGGACTTTGACCCTGCTTGGATGAACAGCATTTGAAGCTGTTGTAAAATGCTGATGAGCTCACTTTTTGTATTAAGGCCAAGTTGCAACATTGCTTGGCAACCATATAAAACCTACAGTTAAAATAATGAACTACATTACTTTTCTTGATCTGTCTTTTAAAGGAGGCACATACATCAGTAAAGCTGGAAGCTGAGGATATAGAGCAGCTGAGTGACACAAACTCAGATATTAAAGGCAGGCTGTCTGAGACTTTGCGGGAAAACAGCAAGCAGATGCTGGATCCAGAGAGAACTGTGAACGGCCAACCGGTACCTGCACAGCAACCCAATCTCTTCTCTGGGGGTGTGATGAGGTGGTACCAGGTGGAAGGCATCGAGTGGCTCAGGGTAAGGGCTTCCTGGAGGCATTGAGCAGTCCTGAATGAGTAGATGACCAGCAGAGGGCAGTATAGTAATCCTCACTGTCTGAAGAGAGCTGGGCTGTGTTTCCCAAAAGTTGATCGTAGACACCATTGGTGGCAATTGTTCTATGATCAACTTAAGCTTACGATGCTTTTGGGAAACAAAGCCCTTGTTGATGATATATATAATATATATGCTTTAAAATTGTGTATGCTGGTTAAATTTGAACCAAACACCATCTGTCTTAATGCTCTCATACTTTTGAGTTGGAAGACAAGGAAGATGTGTATTATGTTTGTATAATGGCTAATAAACTGTTTTGTCTGCTTTTCAGATGTTATGGGAGAATGGTATCAATGGTATCCTGGCTGATGAGATGGGTCTTGGCAAAACCATACAGTGCATTGCCCATATTGCAATGATGGTTGAGAAGAAGGTCCTTGGGCCCTTCCTAGTTGTGGCTCCTTTGTCCACTCTTCCAAACTGGATGTCGGAATTCAAGCGCTTCACCCCAGAGGTGTGAATCAATAACTGTAGTTCATCTTTATTGAAATTTTTACTTTAAGACGAGCTAACAATTTGACTATTGATTGTCTTTTTTGTACCTGCTCTCAATGTTAAGGTGTCCGTCCTGCTGTATCATGGTCCTCAAAAAGAGAGGATGAACCTGGTGAAAAAGATCCGTCAGCACCAGGGTCCCCTCAGAATGTGCCCTGTTGTTGTTACATCCTTTGAAATAGCCATGAGAGACCGGAAGTCTCTTCAGGTAAACAGATCTGGCATTGCATATTTGGTACTCTCATACAAAAAATGTATCTTCAATTTAATAAACATTTTCATAAAAACATAGACTTACCTAGTTTGAATCTGAAAAGTAAGACCGGTTAACTAGTCTGACCAACTAGCAGTTAGCCAAGTGCGTCTTAACATAGTGGCGATATTTATGGTCCTGGTCTTGTGCACAATTCATCAGGACAAGACTTTTTGTACGTTTTATCTTTCATCAAAATGTCTTAATTTTCTTAACATGGAAGTATGTGCCCCTTCTGCCACTTAAACAAAGATTTGGCCAGGACCAAGCCGTTTTTAAGTGAATAAATTGAGGGCTCTTATGTTTGTCTCCTCAGCATTTCCACTGGAATTATCTGATTGTGGATGAGGGCCACAGGATTAAAAACTTGAACTGTCGGCTGGTGCAAGAACTAAAGATGCTGCCAGCTGATAACAAACTGCTCCTGACAGGAACCCCCCTGCAGAATAACCTGTCTGAACTGTGGTCTCTCCTCAACTTCCTCCTTCCAGATGTGTTTGATGACCTGAAAAGGTAAGTCACATGTGGCTCCTTTCATGCAAATGGAATTTGACACTGTTATCCAGCGTGTCGTCATGCGGATTATTCTTAAATGGAAGATTCTATATTTTTTCATGTAAATTCAAACTCTATTTAATACTTGACAACATTTTTCCCCGCAGTTTTGAGTCTTGGTTTGACATTAGCACCATCACTTCCGACGCAGAAAATATTGTGGCTGGTGAGCGAGAGCAGAAGATCCTTCACATGCTTCATCAGGTATCTTCACTTGACATTAATAAAGTTTTGTAGATGTTGCTACAGCTACACAATGTTAAATGTTCTTCAACCAACTAGCTGTTTTGTAAGTATAGTTTTTCTGTTCTTTTGCTTGTGATTCTGATGCCATTTTTAACCTTTTCAGATCCTCACACCCTTCCTTCTGAGAAGACTGAAGTCAGATGTCACACTGGAGGTTCCACCTAAGAAAGAGATTGTTGTGTACGCACCCCTCACCAACAAACAGGAGGCCTTTTACATGGCCATTGTTAACAAGACTATAGCAAAGATGCTGGGCCAAGAGAAGGTTAGTTTTATGCAGTGTTAAAGGTGGGATCAGTAGTTTTTGAAATATGCTGTTGCACAATGTTGGTATTTGAAATCAACCCAAAACAAACACACCCCTTCATTGCTCCGCCTCCAAAACATACAATCCAATCCTAACAGCCCTGTGCCCGGTTGCATAAAGCACCTTAAGTTTTTCCCTTAAGTGTGATACTTAAGGGGCGATTTACCCTTACCTAAGAGAATAACTTAAGGGTGTTGCATATAATCTCTTAAACGGTTCTCTTAGGTAAGGGAAACATTTAAGTGTTTCACGACAGCGATCCTGGATTCACGTTATAAAAGTCTGTTGTTGCCATAGATACGCAAAACACTAACATGTCGGAATATCACGTGTCAGTCCAGTGACGCTATCACGCAACACCGCGTTAGCTCCGAAAGTGGCTGCAGTTTGTGTTGTTCACCGTCTCATGCTTTGGCATTTGTTTAGGTTTTGTGAATGCACTTCTGGCTCTGTGTCTCGAAATACAGCTGAGTATATTTCCATAGCATACCTGTTTTCTTCTGTCATGATTCCTTTTAAAACACAGAATCAGCTCGTTCTCCTGTGAATTTTTTGTCGGCCACACACTCTCCGTGCGCGCACTGACTTAACGTTGTGATAGTTTACATGCGAGTCGCGTGTAATGACAGACAGACGGCCGTCTAGTTTGATAGCGATGTCAAATATTACGTGTCGATCAAATCGGTATTCTTGCAACAATTTTTCATGGCTAAATTGGTCCAAAGGGTTCTCCCTATTCCCTATGATCTTCAGCTGGTTTCATAAATTCAGCCATGTCGTCTTATTTTTGTCCGCGTTACTCTTAAGGTTACGATTTCCAAACCTTAAGTTATACTTAGGGAAATTACCGTTAAGGGGTTTTATGCAACACTTACGGATTACTTAAGTGAAAAAACAGCATTTAAGGGAAATTCTAAGTGTTTATGACGTTTCACTTAAAAAAACCGTTAAGTAACACTTAAGGGTATTTTTCTGCAACACCCTTAGGTTTAAGGGAAACATAAGGGCGACCTTAAGGGCAAAATTACACTTAAGGTGCTTTATGCAACCGGGCACTGCTCCGAGTCGGTCTCGAACCCCGATCTCGATCTTAATTACGCTATACACCGCATTCACTAGCCGTCGTCAGCGCGACTTTCACTAACTGGCCTCTGTTACACACGCAATGTCTGTGTATATTAGGGGTGGAACGGTACATGTATTCGTATCGAACCGAAACGGTACGGGCGTCACGGTTCGGTGCACGAATTTACACGGAGAATACACGGTATAAAAATAAATAAAACTCGCGTGCAAATTAATTAATGTAATGCGGAACTACTGTTAGATACGCGGGTTCTTTTAGGGACACATAATCTGTACCATCGGCTATTAGCTCTGAACGCGCGTTCACTTCAAACGTTGGCTTTATACGCGCGTCCTATTCGCTTTGGACTAGCGTCGAACTAGACGCGAATTTGACGCTCTATTCGTGTTTGGTGTGACCGCATAATGAAGGCTGCGATGTCAAGATTGCTGTGTGTGTGTGTGTGTGTGTGTGTGTGTGTGTGCGCGCGAGAGAGAGGCGAGATCGAACTGTGTGTGACAGAGAGAGAGAGAGGGGCGCGCGACCGTGTGTGTGTGTGTGTGTGTGTGTGTGTGTGTGTGTGCGTGCGCGCGAGAGAGAGGCGAGATCGAACTGTGTGTGACAGAGAGAGAGAGAGGGGCGCGCGACCGTGTGTGTGTGCGCGAGAGAGAGGCGAGATCGAACTGTGTGTGACAGAGAGAGAGAGAGAGGGGCGCGCGACCGAACAGTGGAAACATAAAAAAACATACTGCGTAATTTTGTTCATACAGATCATTAAACCTGCAAAGTGTTTACTTATATTTGTGTACACTCGCAATAAAACACAACATTGTGCACACTGTAAACTCTTGTCAAACTGTAACCTACAACTGTCACTCAACCAAAATCACACACACACTGTTTTAAAAGAAAAACATATTTATCCGACTCCATTTCAAAACAGTCTGTGGGTCCCATCTTTTGGACATTCATCATATTGCATTGGTTTTCATTTCCATTTCATTTGATTAAAAAAGAAAATCGAATGTGTTTTTAATGGTAGTATTATTTTAACAGAAATCAATTATTTATAATTCAGATGAGAATAATGTTACATTGTTAATTAATAATCTTAATTAAAATTAAGGAAAACAAATATATTGATCTGAAATATAGCAAATTAATTCAGGTACAATTACCAAACATATCGCAAGGTCTTTTTGTCTTTTCATTAATTTAATTAATAAACTAATTATATAAAACTATTGTCAGTGCACTACAAATAAACTGGTTCTATGCCTTTATATAATAAAACTTATTTAAAAAATACAATGCCTTCTGCATTTTTGTTTTGCTTTTCCCTCCATTGTACCGAACCGTGATGTCTGAACCGAGGTATGAACCGAACCGTGACTTCTGTGTACCGTTCCACCCCTAGTGTATATATATATATATATATATATATATATATATATATATATATATATAGAAGCGCAACAGAATAATGCTTCACGAAAAGTAAAGCGCAGATGATGACCGAATGACAAGGAAGCACAAAAAAATGAACGTACACTACTCAATAGTAATTACAAACAAGAGTTGGTGGTTAGTTGCCAACAGCACAGCAGCTCCAGACACACAATGACACTCAAACCCAGTGTTACTCATGTGTGGACCCGAATCAAAGCAACCTCCGCGTCTGTTTTCAGGCCTTCCTGCTCAGCTCTCTCCAGCGCTGGACAGCGTTTCTAATAAGCCCCTTTCACACAGCGCTTTGAACCCGGCAAATTGCCAGAGTGCCTTCTGTGTGAACGCAAACACGACCCGGGATCGATGCTGGGTTGGGGACCTAGTAACATTGCCGTGTTCAGACCCGGAACGCGCGCTGTGTGAACAAAAGCCAGAACCAATGCCGTATAAGGGGTATGTCGTAGTGAGGATTCACGAGCCTTTGCAATGACGTAGTTATCGTGCGGCTCAGTTACTCTAGAAGAAAGTTTGTGTTCGTCATCGATACAAGAAAGAACGAAAAAATTTCTGCAAACAGGACTGAAGTAGAGACCCGTCACATCCAACGTCACGTGTCTTTCCGGAACATACACGGGTTGTGTGTGAACGCGGTCTCTGATTCCGGCAAATCACCTTGCAGTGTGAATGAAGCAAAATCAAACGAACCCGGGTCAAATCCCGGGTCACTTTATCCGTGTATTTTCCGGAATCTCTGTGTGAAAGGGGCTATATTAACACGGGTCCTAAGCTCTTCCCTAGACATAACCCTTTATTTTCCGCTAATTTCGTCTGAGCTTTTCTCTTTGTATTGTCTCATCTCTATTTCTGAAGTCTTTCTTCAGTTCAAATCTCCCTCTTGCTTGTTCTCCTCCACCGTCATATGCTCCCTAATGCTGATTGACTGACACATTTGTTGTTGGTGTCAGACCGAATAACATCCAAACTGCATATTTCAAAAACTACTGATCTTACCGTTAAGGCCTGTTTACACAAACATGAATATTCAGCATGAAAATGCAGTCTGATTTGTCATTCAATTTATTCAGACCAATAAGTGGAAAATGGCAGATGGGCTGAATGAAAATGCAAATTCATTCTGGTGACGCTTATGGAAAAGCAGAAATCTTGGTTACTCAGAAACAGAAAGTTAAACAGCACTTTGTGTATCGGTCACCAGGAGAAGAAAGCCCTGCTGTATTTACATGTTTTCAAACAGCCGCTCAGGGGTGTGTTTCCCAAAACCATAGTTGCTAACCTGTTCATCTGTTCTTTTGGTGTTCATGTGTCATGTATTTGATGAATGATACAAGACCTTAGCGAACAAATCAGGGGTGTGTTTCCCAAAACCATAGTTGCTAACTAAGTTAACTAAGTTAGCAACTTTGTTGGTTGCAATTGCATTGTAAGATGCATTAATATGCTGTTCATTTAATTTAAAATGTTTATTGTGCTGAAAATTCATCTTGTGAACAGGGCTTTTAAATATTAAATGAAAGTTTGGAAGTTAGATTGTGGTTAAAAGTATTTATTCATGATTGATTAATGTCTTATTACACATCTTTAAGGTTGATTCGGGGCCTGTGCAGCTGACGTCCAGTGGCCGGCCAAAACGCAGGACCAGGAAGATGGTGGACTATTCTGAGAAGGACACGGATTCTGACTCTGTGCAAGACCTTGAGAAATATCTAGAGAGAGTTCAGAAAGAGATGGAGAGTCAGGAAAAGTCTGTTTACCAAATTTACCTCTGCTCTAAACTCAGCTTTTTAATGTCACAATGTTTTTGACATGACATGGTTACTTTCTCTTTAGCCCCAGTCCAGTGATGGATGTGTTTGTGCCGGTCGATTCTCAAATCAACTTGAAACTGCAGAACGTACTGATGCTGCTGAAGAGGTGTTGCAACCATGCTTACCTGATAGAATATCCTCTGGACCCCGCCACTGGAGACTTCAAGGTACTTCACTCATAACTCTACATCTGGTATTAAGTGATCACATTTGTAATGCAATAGAACAAGTGCACTAATCTTCATCTCATTGGGACAGATTGATGAGCAGTTGGTGGAAGCATCAGGGAAGTTTCTTATCCTGGATCGAATGCTTCCTGAACTGAAAAGAAGAGGGCACAAGGTAATGATCACTTCTCATACATGCATTTTAATCATTAACCACTCTATCAGTGAGTTTCAAAATCCATTATGGCTGTAAGCCATTTGTGCGCGCATTTAATTGCCTGTATAAAAATTGTTGTATGTGTGGATTATACGTAGGGCTGAGTGATACATTGGATATTTATGATGCACACAGTACAGCACTTTATATGGCCATTGAGTTTCCTAAAATGCTCTCAGCATTAATTTTGAATCTCCACTACCATTCAAAATATGTGTGTAAATATTTTTGAAAGAAGCCTCATTCGCCAAGGCTTATTTGATCAAAAGTACAGTAAAAATGTAAAATTCAAAAAGGAAAACTTTTATATTTAAATATTTTAAAATATAACTTATTCCTGTGATGAAAAAGCTGAATTTTCACCAACTTTACTCCAGTCTTGAGTCACATGATCCTTCAAAAATCATTTTAATATGCTGTTTTGCAATAAGCATTTCTTTATCAATATTGAAAACAGTTGTGCTACTTAAAGGTGAAAACTATAATTTATTATTTTGGTTGTAGCTGTATTAAACGGTCTTAATTGCATCCACATCCTTGTTTATTTTTCAACAGGTGCTGATTTTTAGCCAGATGACCTCCATATTGGATATTCTGATGGATTACTGTTATCTCCGGGGTTATGAGTACAGCCGACTGGATGGCTCAATGAGTTATACAGACCGAGATGAGAATGTGAGCAGCAGTTTGGTTAACACAAATTGCCATTGCATTACAGTTAGTGTGGGTTGTGTTCAGTAAACAGTTGACTAATTTTCATGCAGATGAAGAAGTTTGCTGCTGATCCAGAGGTGTTCCTCTTCCTCCTGAGCACTCGAGCTGGTGGTCTCGGGATCAACCTCACAGCTGCCGACACAGTCATCATATTTGACAGTGACTGGGTATGAATTATTATTTTTTGCATGCTTTTAAACCAATTTAGAGTTCAAAGTTAGAGTTCTGTTCTTTCAATAATTTTTGTGAATGAGAAGCCTCTTCAGCAGCATATATATATATATATATATATATATATATATATATATATATATATATATATATATATATATATATATATTGGTAGGGGTGTGCAAAACAATCGATTCACATTTGAATCGCGATTCAATCTTTACCGATTCAGAATCGATTCATAGAATTCCAAAAATCGATTCATATATTTTTTTTAATGGCGTGAATGGGCGGAGTGGCAATCGGATGAGTCAGGACTTTTACCGGTGGTCCGGTAGTGTTTCGAGGCTGCGAGGGCCGGTCTGATAAATAGTTACATTGCAAGTTCTTGCCGCCCGCTGGTCAAACTGCAGCCTCTCTGCTCAACCCGTAAATAAATGCATCGATCCGCAGATCTTATGTTTGCGTTCTGTTGATCTTTTGCCAAGCGTGTCAGAGGTTACGGGTTCTAAACCGCACTCGTATAGTTTTTTTTTCTCTCTCTCATCAAAACCCAATATGCTCATCACGTTTGTGTGCATTTTATTTTGTGATTGCACCGGAGTCTCCACAACGGCGATAGATTGAAGCGCGTGTCCGAGTGAAGAGTGAGACTGCATGAGCCACAGAGAACACTGTATCCATGACACATAGCAGCGGCAACGAGCGCGCAGCTTGATTTCAAAAACAACAGACCTCTTATTTAATAGCGAACTAAATGAATGCTCTGCTAGTTAACTGGAGATACCCGCAAATTACGCCTATGAACGACTTCACTGGATCTAAACAAATCAATCTAACCATAGATGTTACCAGTAGCGGTGGCTTTTTAAAATCTATTTAAAATAATTTCGCAAGGGTTCTATGACATTAGTATATATTTTTAGGAAGTTCAATGTGCCCAGTCGAGTTTACATTTCAACAGTCAGCCTGGTAGCTGAAGTAGTCCTTAAACCACATTTAGCATAATTGTTTGATCTGACTACAGCACTTTAAAGCTAAATGTAAAAGCTTTTTATTTAAGTTTTATTTTAAACTTGAATTAAATGTATTTGAAAGCTGGCCAAAGCTTGGCACTTTGCACTTTTTAGTTGCAAAAGTTTTTATTTTTGTATGAAAACATATAAAGTAATATCAAACTACATTTAATTTGTTGTGTTTTTTGTTCTTTTAAATTGTGTCTACTGCAATCAATCACATAGGAAAAAGTAAACTACATTTATATACTGCGAATCGTTTTTTGAATCGAGAATTGATTTTGAACCGAATCTTGAGACAAAAAATCGGTATCGAATCGGGACATTTTCTGAATCGTGCACCCCTAATATTTGGTGAATTTCATCTTCAGAATCCTCAGGCAGATTTGCAGGCACAGGATCGGTGTCACCGTATTGGGCAAACAAAGCCTGTGATGGTTTACCGCCTCATTACGGCCAACACCATTGATGAGAAGATCCTGGAGAGAGCCTCTGCCAAGAGAAAGCTAGAGAAGATGGTCATTCATAAAAGTATGTAGCTATTTAGATGGCCACATTACCAACTTTTGAATTTAATAAAACTGTTTAAGGATTGATCTAGTTTTTGCCATGACTGACACTTTTTTTTCTCTCTCCCACTTATATTTGTCATTATAGATAAATTTAAAGGTTATAAAGCAGAACTCAAACAGACCAAGAGCTGCATGGATGTAAATGAGCTTGTAGAACTGCTGAAGTCCAGAGACTACGACAGGTACAGATATTCATACTGTATATCTCAACTGTTGCAAGAGTTTTAATCCATCATAAAGTGTTGCCAAATTCTGCATTGTCCTGATATGAGTCATGCTGTTGCAGGGCAGTGAAAGGCACTGAAGGAAAGGTCATCAGTGACAAAGATCTGGAGATCCTGCTGGACCGCAGTGATTTAACGAGTAAGTGGATCAATGCCCTTCACATCTCCGATCTTGATGTTTCCTTGTCTATGTAATGTGTGTTCAGTCCACTGCATAGTAGTGGTAATAAGTAATGATACTTGGATATTGTAATGCCCCTCTAATGTGAATCAAATCTCCCTTTTCAGATCAAGCCAAGAACCGTTTGAAACAGGAGAAGGACAGGGTGTTTAAAGTTATTGAGACCAAAGATGACAATGCTGACATCAGTCTGTCCTGAGAGCTTAGACACTTGAAGCTTGCCTTTAGGCCAAAGTTGAGTTTTTCCCACTGCTTAAACTGATCAAGCAACGTTAACTGGTATAAAAGCTGCCTGCTGGTTATACAGAAAGATTGAGATCTTTTCTATTTTAGACTTTTATGTAAACCACCACTGCTGCTTTTAATCAGTCCATCCTTGGTTGTGAATTTATTTTATCAGTTTTAACATATAATACCAGTTTTTTCGTTTCATGTCTCTTTTTTTGAGGAGGGGGGATTTGCACTAACGAAAAGAATCCCCTACTTTGGCTTCTCTGTAAATACTGTTGTACATTTCATATGTAGTTGACTGAATAGAATTCGTTTACATGCTAACTGCTTCAAAGCACTTTGCTAGAATACTGTAGAACACAAACGTTCCTTTGTTTTTTTATGTCTTTAAAATATAATAAATATTTTATATTCAGTATTTGTGAAGTTTATTTAATTTTTGCGTGTGCATACAATAGCTGTTTTGGTAACAAACCAACAGATGCCTGCATTCTACAGGGCATGTAGCTAATGTCCACCAGGAGACAAAATGACTTGTTCATTTTTGCTGTTTGTTCTCCTCTTCTAGTTTTCTTCTTATATCCTGGATCACTGTAGGAAAAAAACAAGTCATTTGAAAAATGCAATGCAAAATATTACGAGATAATATTTGCATTCCAAACACATGATTCATGTAGTCGAGTGTCTTTGACATAATGGGCATGTACACAATGTAACAATTTTTATTAACATTGTTGAAAACGGTTGTGCTGCCTAATTTTAGAAACCTTTGATAGATTTTTTTTTTTTTAGGGTTCTTTGATGAATAGAAAGTTCAAAAGAACAGGATTTATTTGAAAAAGAAATAATTTTTAACATTACATAAAGGTCTTAAATATCACTTTTGATCCATTAAAAAAAAGCTAATTTAAACCAGGAAATTTTTAACTTTTTTCAAACTTAAGATTTTCCACTTTCTAATTGACAAATCAAATAAATATAACGTTGACATTAACTTCTTGAACAAAGGGTCAAATTCATGCAGTTCAAGTGCTAATACATTCAGATATTTGTGTTAATTTCATTGATAATAATTTGCAATACATTTGCCATTAAAATAAAAAAAAGCAAAAATTTTACCAGTGGTGTCAGATTATATCAGAAATCATACCATCATCAGTAGGTGAGAGCTTTAGTGCGTTTCTTTGATGTTTTGATGTGATGTCAGTAATGGTCATGGGAGGATCAGCTGCATCCATGTGGCCCATTTTCTGTGTGATCCTGTCGCTGATGCCGAGGTAATCCTTGCGCAAGTCTTCCATCTCTGCTAACAGCACCTCCCTCTCTCGCTCAAGCAAACCAATGGCCTCTTTGAGTCGTTCTCCCTCCCTGACGCTTGCCATCTGAGACGCCATCTTTTCTTTATGAATGGTCTGCAGCTTCTCTGTCAGGACTTGCTTGTCTCTCTTGAGTTTATTGGCCATCTCCATCAAGGTCTCGCACTCTCTTCTCAAACCATCGGACTGCTGCAGATGGGCATTTTGCTGCTCCTGTAGTTGAAGTATCTCCACTCTCTGCTTGTTGTGAATCAATTTCGATTCATACTTCAAGGTCTCCACCTGCTGATGTGCTTTGTCTCTTTCTGTTCGGCACTTCTCCAACTCAGCGTTCAGCTTCTCCTGAAATTCCTTAACGTTCTTCTCATTGTCGGACTCTTTGGAGCGAGTCGACTGAATGAGCTCTTTATTCTTCTCCTGAGCTTTACGTAAATGGTCTCTGAGGTTTGCAGATTCACTTCTTATGGCCGATGCCTCCTCTTCAAGCCTCTGATTAATGCTGATGTTCTTCTTGTGTTCAGCATCAATCAACTGCAAGGTCTCTCTACACGAAGCGAGATCTCGACCCGCTACATCTCTTTGCTCCTCTAGTAGCTTCTGCTTGGTTAGCAGCTCTTGAGACACCTGCTGAAGCTTCTTTAATGATTTCTGACAGCTCTTTTTCTCGTTGAGCTCCAGGTTGAGCTGGTCCTTCATCGTGACGGCACGTGTTTTGAGACGCTCGTATTTCTCCATCAGTGCTTTAAGCTGCTTCATTGAAGTTTTGTTGTTACTTTTGGCTTCAGCTAGTTCCTCCTTCATATCTTCACAGATATGATCGAACCTGGTGGTGATCTCTGTATTTTTCTGCTCCTCACATTTCAGCTTTTCGGTAATAAGTTGGGTTTCTCTCTCATTTTGCTTTGATTTCTCTTTCATATCTTTCAGTTCTTGTTGCTTGACCAACAACAAATGGACAAGATGTTGGTTTTCCAAATCCTTCTGTTGCAGTTGTTCCTTCACGACTTCAAAGAAGTCAAGATGTTTGCCCTTGAAAGATGAACTTTTGTCGGCTCTGCTTTTTTCTCTGCCCTTAGACATTTCCTTCACAATGACTTTGGGTGGGTTTGAGGAGCATTCAACAGATCTTGTTGAATTAGACCTAATCAAGTAAGCGAATGGTAGGTGTAAAGCTTCAGAGTTACTGCCCATCTGTAAATCGTATTTTGACCCGAGGATACTCATTGTAGCCTCTTCTTTTTTAAGCAGATCTGCTCCTGCTAGAATTCTGTGCAGGGATTCCATTGTCTGCTCATTAAAATTGTGATTGACATTTCCATTTGTGTTTTGTAGTAAACTCTGTCGCACTTTGAGGAACCTGTTCTCAAGGGTTTCCACTGAAGCATGTTGTGATTTAGCACATGGGAGTTCTTGTCCTTTCTTCCACCCACTAAAAAGCATGTCATTTGATTGCACTTCACTGCTGATGGCTCCTGGCTGATGGCTGCCTAGCTTATCAGGAATTGGTCCGTCTAAGCCCTGCTGTGTATCTTGAATGCTATCAAGTTTACACTTGTGCACAGACCTTCTGGTCCGTTTGACGTTCGGGTCCATTTGAGTTGAAAATTTCTTTGTACTGCAAGACATTCAGGCAAACAAAGCTTTACTTGTAATAAGAAGCACTTTATTGATGCAGAAATGAAATAAAAAGACATTTCTTCAAAAGCTCTTACCTTACTTGCATTACTTCCCACCATCCAAACGAACTGCAACAGAAGCCTACTGTGCGACTCAATCCCCATTGTTTAAAATGTTTTAAAATGTCTATCACCATAGAAACAGGACCAGTGCTGGCAACGCCAAGCGCTTGGGGGAAAAAAGAAAGACGTTATAAAAATGGTTTTGAACCAAACCAGTTCTGCTTGAATGGCTGTAACGTTAGAGCTGCAGCACAAAAGCTGCTTTTATCACTCTGGTGAGATGCAACACTTGTAAAGTCCAGCATGTTTTGGTGAAACTTAGCTGTATAAAATAAGAACATAAAAATATCTGATTTTTGAGCAAAACTTTAATAAGTTTATATAGTTAATACTTTACAATAAGGTTGAATTAGTTCATGCATTATGAACCATAAACAATACTTACTTGGAATTTATTTATCTAGGTTAATAGTTAAAAGTATAACATACTCATAATACATTATCCCTGGTTTCACAGACAAGGTTAAGCCTAGTCCCAGACTAAAATGCATGTTTGAGCTGTTTAAACTGAAAGCAATTTGCACTGATATCTTAAAACATGTCAATGCCATTGTTTTGTCAAGATGCACACCAGTAATGTTTTTTTTTATAAGGCACAAATGCTATCAGGTTTACAGTTGTTTGATTTCCAGTTCCATTTGAGATGAAAATGTATTTGTACTGCAAGACGTTCAGGCAACAATGCAGACAACAATACTGAAGGAGTCAGACACAGCAATTTTAAATATTTTAATTGTTTAAAAAATAAATTAAATGGCATAACCTTAAAAGACTGACAAATCAAGTCATCTCATGAGCACTCCAATAGGTCAGAAGACACAAATGAAAGGGGCTCTGATCTTAGAGAAGTACAACAAAAGGCAAATAGATCACATTCATACACATCTCGAAACATCCTCTGATGATCTACAGCTGATATTCATACTCATTTACATGCATGAGGCTATGATACAGTCTAAAACGACACTGTACAGAAAGAGGCCCAGTAGAGCAGTGACTTGGATGGATTTACAACTTCAGCATTCCTTAAAAGCACTAAAAATCTCACAAAAAAAAAAAAACCCCAGCAAAAAAGCTGGTATGTTTTCACACGGAGTAACTGGATGTGGTAGAAGGCTAAATTGAAAATGCTACAGTTCATCCACTGAGAGCAGTAATTAAACCGTTAAGCATATAAGGGATTTAACATCTAGTTTTTAAATTACCTTTCAGATTATAAAACAGTTGTAGTGCTTCCCTGATAATCCCTCAAACCAAGAGAAATCCAAAGCTGCATGTATATCTGCTGACTTAAACCTGAATTGATAAACATTTGTAATGATGTTCCTTGCCGTTAACAGCGTCATATTGGTGGTGTGGATATTGGTCAGGGTAAATTATGCTGTAAACTTTGGTTAGAGTCTACATGACCAAACATCAACAAAAAAAACTACACAACATAAAAGCAGATTGTTCAAACACTAGGCAGATAAGGCACAGCAAACTGTCAGTTGGTCTTCAACTTCGTAGCTTGTGTCACCTGATCTGTAAGCGTGGCTCTTATAGAGTTCACAACAGTCTGTCGGACATTTTCTTCCATGTATTGCTCAGTAAGTGGCTTCAGCACCTAGAATGAACAAAGAAGAGAAAACATTAACATTAAGGACTAGATTTTTAGATTTTCTAAAGAAAATGTCAACAGTGCTTTCTGAACATTTTTAGCCTGTTGCCAAATGGTTGCTTGCTAGGGAGTTCAGGGTGGTTGTTTACAGGTCAAAGTCAAAAGGAGTCCACCAACAAGTCCCAAAATATGTAAATCTATTGGAATTTTTTTACCTTAACAACCACCAGGCAAACATTGACCAGTCCAATTACTTTAAGTAACCTTGCCTCAATTACTGTATAAAATGTAAGATTTTTTTTAATATTAACTGATGAAATAAGAGTTAAGCATATGTAGAAAAAAATTATATTTACTACTAAAAAATGTCCATGACTTGAATACATTTTATTAAGTTATGAGATTGTATTACCTTCAATATATTTTCTGGTATTATGAGAACCCTGGACTTAAGGTTATGGGTTTGTTCAAATTCTTACAACTTTCATTCATCTTCAAAATGATGAATCTTAAGAATCAATAAGGTTTGCTCTTGTGGAAAGCTTAAAGGGTTAGTTGAATGTCAATTACCCCATACTTTACTCCCATTATAAAGCTTGGAAGAGCCAAAATTTTATTATAAAAAAACTAAAAAAAAACTCTGATTGTGTTTGGCTTAAAGAAGAAAGTCATATACTCCCAGGATATGACTTTTTTCTTTAAGCCAAACACAATCAGATTTTTTTTTTTATAATAAAATTTTGGCTCTTCCAAGCTTTATAATGGGAGTGAATAGAGCCTGAATTTTTGAAGCAGGCAGTAAAGTAATCCAGTGATTATAGTTTATAAAGTTATAAATATGCATATTTTTCTAACAAAAACACACCATTTCACTTCAGAAGGCCTTTATCAAACCCCCCGGAGCCGTATGGATTACTTTTATGATGGATGGATGTGCTTGGAGCTTGGAAGAGCCAGGATATTTTTTAATAAAAATCTTATTGTGTTTGGCTAAAAGTAGAAAGTCATATACACCTAGGATGGCTTGAGGGTGAGTAAATTATTGGATAATTTGAACTAGCCCTTTAAATGTGCTTGCCGGAAACAAGCACAAGCCTCATTGCGTTCTTGCACATCAAGCAAACACATTCGAGCTTCCGTTTACCATATTTGATGTGATCTATGCATGTTGACCAATGCTTGTATGCGAATAAAAGCCTAAAATGAATCTTGTTTATCATATAAAATGATACATTCATATATGGATTATTTTTAAATTTTGGTGAAATGCACTTTCAATAGAGGGACAAAAATCTCTCAAGTTTCATTTAAAATATTTTCATTTCTTTTTCGAAGATCTTATGGGTGTGGAATAACGTGTGTCCCTTGTTAACGGGATAATGAACTATGTTTTTAACAAAGCAAGACTTATAGTAATAATACATAAATAAAACCAATTTAAATGCTAAATTCTATATGTGACCCTGGACCACAAAATCAGTCATAAGTGTCAATGATCTGAAAGCTGAACAAATAAGCCTTTATGAAGTCCTCGATGTTGCTGCATCCACACATTTTTTTTTTATATATATATATACATTTACGGTAGGAAATTTACTAAATATCTTCATGGAACATGATCTTTACTTAATATCCTAATGATTTTTGGGTCTAAAATTAAAATCTATAATTTTGACCCATACAATGTATTGTTGGTTATTGCCACAAATATACCTGTGCGACTTATGACTGGTTTTGTGGCCCAGGGTCAAATATAGTATTTTAGTCTAAACCCAGAACAAAGCAGAAATCAAAAGCACTTCATAGTGTATATAACATATGAGAATAATGTAGATTCACATATAAATCAAGCCCTATCTAGACACTCCCAGTAGAACACCGGATGCAAATCAGGCATTAGAATCAGGACTGGCTCTAAAATTCATCGGCCCTATGACAAAATTTTTATTGGAGGAACCTCTATTCCCTGAACTCTATTAGTAAACTAAACTAAAGAGGAGCTTGATGGGCCTCACATTATCTAAGGGGGGGGGGGGGCTTAGAAAAATGCTAGGAGTTTCCAGGAAATGGGGAGTGAGATTACAGTCTCACCTTTAGAAACATGGGTTATGACAAGACTAAAAGAGAATGATTTATGATGAGATGAACACAAAAGAAGACCGGAAAGCAACTGAAACAACAACGTGTGGGGCAGTGAAGAGAACGTAGAATGGACCCAACCAACATGTGGAAGCATAACTCACCTGTTCCCACAGGGCCTCTGCTATGAGGTCTATAGCCACGCCCACTTCCCGATACTCTCCTGAGTATCTGACATACGCCCAGGCACACAACGAGAGCAGAGCCACACCCATCACAAGACTGGCCAGAGCCGCGATTACTGATAAACCAATGAAACCTGTTACAGTGGAGACCATGTAGGTGACAAACATGACAGCAAACAGAGTGGCCGGAGTTCTCGCCGCATAGAAAATGTTCTTGCTTTCATTGTGTTTCACAAAATTTGTGTACGCTTCATCCAGCTCCGCCTCTAACTGCTGCTGGTAGCGCTGACAGAACTCCACACCGCCCATTTTCTTCACAGCACAAAACTTCTCAACGGAGGTTTTCTTAAACTCTTCGTGATAGCGCTGGAGGTCAACTGGGGCGATGTATGGTTTGTCTCCTCCACATACCTGTGACACACACAACAAAATTATAAGCTCAGGCACATTTCCTGATCTATCTAATCACCCGGCGTAGATTTAACTAAACCATAACAGGCATTTTCTTTGAGTTATCTAGGCCAAACCTACTATTTTAGTGCAATGGCCTCAAGTTATTTTCAGTTATATAGGCTAGCTCATCTCACGTCATGATCCTGCTATATTTAAATAGAATTTAGGTCCCTCTCCATCTATGATCCATTTAGTAGTGAAGAATCTTGACTGAATGCACTTGATATGCAGGATGCATTTACTCGCACTCCTTTTTGTCTCCATGTATGCTGTCAAATAGAAGAAATAATAGTGTCTCAAAGTAACTCTACCTGCTCCATGGCTCTGTTATAAGTGTCTTTCGCTCCAGCGACAGCTGTCAAGTTGTTCGCTTCAGCAGTTGCCTGAGTAAAAGAGGCACAGTGAGCATTTAATACCTTCCATATAAACAACCATGTTTTGGGGTCAGTAGGATTTTGTTTTTTTTGAGAACGCTGTTCTTTTGAACTTAGTATACATCAAAGAATCCAGGGGGAAAAAATGTTTTATGGTTTCCACAAAAATATTAAGCAGCACAACTGTTTTCAAAATTATTACAGTATTTTTTATCAAATATATAAATATATATATATATATAGAGAGAGAGAGATTTGTTACAATCCCAAAACTTTTTAACAGTACTATAGGTGACTTTAAAGATGGAGAGGAACCTACCTGCACCATGGATTTAGGATGTGGAAGCTCTTCCCCTTGATAGATTTTGATATACGCCTACAAACAAAGGAATATAAACATGGGTATTTTACTGGATGTTCATAAAGCAGAACATGTTATGGATCTACAACCTGATTGAATGAGGCATGTTCAATGGCACTGTAAAAAAAGGCACACCTATGACCTCAGACCAACTGAAGTCTATATGAATGCATTCATGTTGCTTGACAGCTGTAAACAGGCCACTGTCATGCTAATGAACTACACTCACCGGCCACTTTATTAGGTACACCTGTCCAACTGCTCGTTAACACTTAATTTCTAAGCAGCCAATCACATGGCGGCAACTCAGTGCATTTAGGCATGTAGACATGGTCAAGACAATCTCCTGCAGTTCAAACCGAGCATCAGTATGGGGAAGAAAGTTGATTTGAGTGACTTTGAACGTGGCATGATTGTTGGTGCCAGAAGGGCTGGTCTGAGTATTTCAGAAACTGCTAATCTACTGGGATTTTCACGCACAACCATCTCTAGGGTTTACAGAGAATGGTCCGAAAAAGAAAAAACATCCAGTGAGCGGCAGTTCTGTGGGCGGAAATGCCTTGTTGATGCCAGAGGTCAGAGGAGAATGGCCAGACTGGTTCGAGCTGATAGAAGAGCAACTTTGACTGAAATAACCACTCGTTACAACCGAGGTATGCAGCAAAGCATTTGTGAAGCCACAACACGCACAACCTTGAGGCGGATGGGCTACAACAGCAGAAGACTCCACCGGGTACCACTCATCTCCACTACAAATAGGAAAAAGAGGCTACAATTTGCAAGAGCTCACCAAAATTGAACAGTTGAAGACTGGAAAAATGTTGCCTGGTTTGATGAGTCTCGATTTCTGTTGAGACATTCAGATGTTAGAGTCAGAATTTGGCGTAAACAGAATGAGAACATGGAACCATCATGCCTTGTTACCACTGTGCAGGCTGGTGGTGGTGGTGTAATGGTGTGGGGGATGTTTTCTTGGCACACTTTAGGCCCCTTAGTGCCAATTGGGCATCGTTTAAATGCCACGGCCTACCTGAGCATTGTTTCTGACCATGTCCATCCCTTTATGGCCACCATGTACCCATCCTCTGATGGCTACTTCCACCATGTCACAAAGCTCTAATCATTTCAAATTGGTTTCTTGAACATGACAATGAGTTCACTGTACTAAAATGGCCTCCACAGTCACCAGATCTCAACCCAATAGAGCATCTTTGGGATGTGGTGGAACGGGAGATTCGCATCATGGATGTGCAGCCGACAAATCTGCGGCAACTGTGTGATGCCATCATGTCAATATGGACCAAAGTCCCTGAGGAATGCTTCCAGCACCTTGTTGAATCTATGCCACGAAGAATTGAGGCAGTTCTGAAGGCAAAAGGGGGTCCAACCCGTTACTAGCATGGGGTACCTAATAAAGTGGCCGGTGAGTGTATATTTCTTGACATAAGAATTGTTAAGTGTGATTAATCATTTACTTAAAGGATTAGTTCACCCAAAAAATGAAAACACTGTCATCATTTATTCACCCTCATGTTGTTCCAAAAAATAGTCCATGTGACTACAGTGGTTTAACCTTAATGTTATGAAGCAACGAGAATACAATTTGTGCTCAAAAAAAGGAAGAGAAGAAATTGTTGAATGAAGTCGTTATTTTTTTTCGGGTTTGCAACGACATGAGGGTGAGTAATTAATGACAGAAATGACATTTTTGAAACTAACCCTTTAATGAAACTGAGGTTTCTTGCCTTATTATTAGGGCTGGGACAACGAGTCGACGCCATCGATGAAGTCGACGCAAAAAATATGTGCGTCGATTCGTCAGAACCAAAACAAAGATGGCGGCGCCGGAGAGTAGTAGCTGACTGGATTGTTGACTATACTGTGCGCATAACATACATAGCGCGCACGGCAGAGAGGGAGAGAGCGAGAGACACACGCAAGGTCTCTCGCTCTCTGCCGTGCGCGCACTATGTATGTTATGCGCGCAGTATGTTCGGTCTCGCATGCGCTCTAGATTCTAGGAGATTTGAACTAATTTGCGGGCATCAGGGAGACGCGGAGACGCTATCAATATGCAGGGGACTCCCGGAACTTCCGGGAGACTTGGGATGTCTGAGTGCGGGTTTTTTTTCCCCCCCGGCGTGCATGTTAATCATTGAGTGCATTCACACCGGGAGCGGGAGCAGGAGCAGCGCGAGCAGCGCGAGTCTTTGCTGCTGCTCACGCTCAATTAAAGTGAAAGCACACTTTTGATGGACAAAATAAATATGATTTCACCCAAAAAGTGCAGAAAATGCACATAATTTGCATGTCTGGTGTGTTTTAACAAGAACTGGAGTAGGGTATGTATGTCAGAAAAGAAAATGAAGACTCAATATTTATAGAATTTTTTTATTGAATGCTAGACATCAAGTTATTATTTTCATCTTTAAGAAAAATTACAAGATGCACTTTTTTCAGTAAGCTAGGCCTATGTGTTTTCAAGGCTTCAAAGTTTTATTGATTGCTACCTCTAACTAAGAATGCATTACTTTGCACTTGTATAGTCTTTTATTTTGGAATTTTAAGAGCAATAAACATATATTCCAATGTTAAGGAATTCATGTTTTTTCATTCAGATATGCAAATCAACATGTATAAAATGCTATTAGTCAATTAATGGGGAGATAATCGATAACCGAATCGAAATCGAATCGGACTGGAAAAATGAATCGTTAGATTAATCGATGCATTGAAAAAATAATCGCTAGATTAATCGTTTCAAAAATAATCGTTTATCCCAGCCCTACTTATTATCAATAAAGACTTGCATCATTTGCCACACAAATTCTACAGGGACACTTGAATAGAGCCTCTTCGATTTAAATGCTGACACAATTTACAGCTAATCTGATTTGTACAGCTGTTAGTGCAGCTAAAGTAATCAAATCTGACCTTGAAGTACTCCAGCAGGTCTCTGCATGTGACTTTAGCTCCACTGATCTCTTTCTCTACCAAGTTTTCTGGTGCCAGCAGTAAAGGCACTAGATTCTGCAGCTCCTCCTTAAACGCATCATCAATGTCTGCAAAAAAATAAAAGAAGTTCTTCATGATGAGCCTAGAGTTTGGACGTTCATGTGCATGTCGGTATCTGAGAGAAATCTGTCCTGACCTTTCAGTCTGCCATCAAAGTGAGGGTTGGTGGCCACCTTCAGACCTGGATGTGGCAGCAGAAAGCAGTCTATGCTGGAGAAACAGCTGTGAATATGCTTCCTAACATTCTGCAGCTCTTCGTGTTGATTCTGCTTCACCTGCATAGCACAAATAAAACATTCACAAATCGTTCAACATGCTGATGCCGTGTTCATCTATTCTGTGCTTCATCTCACCTGTAGTCTCCTCTCCAAGAAGTGATTCCCTCCTTTGAGCCCATAGTTATGCTCGTAAGGGAAACACCAGTCTCTGATCAGAAACAATAGTTTCTGCAAAAAAAAAAAAAAAAAAAAAAAAAAAAAAAAGTGAATCTCAAGACCAACAAAATTAGAAAAACACAAATACTGATGATGGTGTAATCGATGCCCAATTTATCATTCAAACTTTTTTCAGAGAATAAAGAAAATATTGATTTGCAAAAAATTATTCTGGAAAAATACTCATTTTCAGATTTCATAGTGAATTATTCTGGTATGAAAATAATTGTGCTGTTTTAATCACATTAGACTTTGTGAATAATCTTTAATTATTTTATTTTTTTAAAAGGACATATTTTATGCTCACCAAAAATGCATTTTTTGATAAAAAATATGAAATATTACAGTTTAAAATATTTTTTTCTAGTTTAATATATTTTAAACTGAAATTTATTCCCGATGCAAAGCTGAATTTTCAGCATTATTATTCCAGTCTTCAGTGTCACATGATCCTTCAGAAATCATACTAATATGCTGATTTGCTGCTCAAGAAACATTTATCATCAACGTTGAAAACAGTTGTGCTGCTTGATATTGTTGTGGAATTATTTTAAGGATTCTTAAGGAGAAATAGACTATAGCAATCTTTTGTAACATGCCCAATGTGTTTAATGTCACTTTTGATCAATTTAATTTAGTTTAATTTTGATCAAGTCCTTGCTGAATAGAATTATTAAAAGGGTCCTATTATGCCCTCTTACGAAGTTTTGATTTTGTTATTTTTAGTATATTATTTTTTCAACTTTCCATTTGTGCAGTAAAACGTAAAAAAAAAAAAAAACAAGTCTCACAAAGTCTCATGCCATTTAGATGAAAGGAACATTTATATACATAAAAAATAATAATAATAAAAAAAGTGGATGGGAAACCGTCTTGTATTGCTCCCGCATCATATTATGTAAACTGCATTTATGACAAAGAACTAGTTATATACGTCATGACAATCTATCAATAAATGCACACACCTTGTCCTCTGCTTCTGACGTTGGCGCCGCGCTGCTGCGGATTGAAGAACACGCTGAATAACATGGACTAAAATACGGGGAGGAGCCAAGCCTGCCGCCGTTTTCATACGAGTTTTAAAGGGGACTGAGGCGATCACGAATTAGAGTACATATTATTGAAGGAAATCGCAAATTTCGGGGGGGCTAAAGGCCTCCTAAAATGGGCCTAGTTTTGTCCCCTGAGATACACAGAGAACACAGCACAAATACATTCCATACAATCCATCAAAACAAATGATATGATTCTTCAATAATGGCTTTAAAGTGGCCTCTGAAACATTTTGAATATCTGTGGCATCTGTGGGACTTTTTGTCCTGAGCGCAGGTTAATTTGTGTCCATGACAAGTACTCAGTATGGAAATAGCTTTTCTACCTGAAATGGTTTCTCATAGATCTCCTCCATTGCAAGTCGACCGTATTCTGTGAAAAGCTATAAAAGACACATGATGTTACTGTCCCACTTACACTATTAACACATCACTAAACAACATACACCAATAAATAAAGTTGCTACCTGGAGATGCTGCAAATCATCTTCTTGGATATTCTGAGAAAGATTATAAACCTAAAACAAACAAGGCTGTTGGGTCACATAATATAATAGACTACGATGTATGGCAAAGCCCCATGTCATGTCAACCTTTACTAATGCATGTGCATCACTAACATGCTTCTACATACCTGCACAGAGCTGGTCATGGTGCTTAGAGCAAAAACAGTGGCACAGTCTTTGATGGTGGACTGACTGTCAAAGGCTCCCTGAGTGTCCACCAGCAGCACAGCCACCTAAGAACACACATAGATTAGTCTTATCACACAGTCAACATATCTTGACAGTGACATAATACATATCTTCAACTGAGCAAACCATTCACCTTAGTTCCATCTTCCTTTTCCACAACAAACACCTCACTCCAGGCCTGGATTCCTGTGGTCTCTCTCTCACAGCCTCCCCTCCAGGAGAAACCAGTCAACGGCTCATCATCTCCTCCCATCCATGACTCAGATGACTACAAAGAAACAAAAGGGATTGTTCATATGAATGTCCCAAAATGCACGTAATAAAGCATACATGCTCGCGCACATGTGACCTAGCTGGTTTTAAACATGCAGTACGCAGCCCACACGTTTAGACATGTCAAGGGTAGGAGTCATCAGGAACTTGTTCTCAGGAATAATGATTCAGGTAGACTCATTTTTAACTGATGTGTTGGAGCTCTCATGTCTTGGATATTTGAATGCATTAGGGTAGATGACCTGTTATTTTACAGTCCTCACAGATAAGGGCAAATAAGCTTTGACACTTTGTTTCATTATTAAAAGTAACAATGCACAACTTTCAAATTCTGTCCATTTTGTTATGAAATTCAAACAATAAAAGCCGTTTTGTCGCTCTTTCATATGCCGTGACAGATCACTGTAGCGCCTCAGTTCAAGCCGCACATGAACCAATCATCTCTTCCTGTTTACAGCATGAAATAAAAATGAATGAACATCAGAAGGTATGTTGAAAGAAACAGTACACCTTACTGAAATGTATCATGTCTCATGTAATCGCTCAATCAGTGTTTCAAAAGGGGGAAACATCAACAATTTGAACAGCTTGTATACTGTTTATATATTGGAAGCTATTCAATGAGCATAAACTAGTTAGTTAGAAAAGAAAATATCTCTAGAGAAGAGCATTTTGATAAATATATGCACTATATTAAATTTTCATTACATATTTACTTAACCTGTTAGTGATGTCATTATTTTATGCTTGAATAAATCTGTCATGAAAACAAATAACAGTTTCTTGTTTAAATGCTTATATTTAACCAACAAATTGGAGTAGAAATATTTCTGTTATTATATATATGCCATTTAAATGTTTGTACAACTCAGTTTGTTCAATTTGAGTGTTGATTATTAAATACATTTGTTTAACTGATTGTTAAATAAACGTTATTTTCGTAACGTTTTTGTTTTCAGCCAAGTGTATCCTGAATTTTCGGTTTTAGCCCAGAATTTTTATTTTGCCGCATCACTAGTTATATCAATTGAAAGTAGATTAAAAAAAAGAGAAAAAAAAAGGAATAAAACAATGACCAATTTTAGCATCTAAAAATATATAAGTTCTCATTTACAAATATACACATTTAATCTAAAATTTTAATTTGTGTCCATTTGTCAACTAGCCATATGCTTACATCACTGAGAGGGGGTTCGTTCTAACCTGATTGTGCATGTAACGTAGCATGAAATCCAGCAGGAAGGACTTTCCCTTGCGGAAGGCACCGGCCACAGACACCACAACCACGTTGAGATCCTTGACATGTTCCTGCATCAGGATTTTTTCCAAAGCAACAGCATCCAACTCAAACTTATGATCGTCCTCGTTAGCGATCACAATTTGAATGGGTCGAGCCCCCTCTGGTACCGGGTCCTCCTCTGGCTCAAGCTCTTCTGCTACAGCACATGGTGCCGCACCATAAGTGTCAGAGCTGAACTCCTCCAATGAGCTCAACGCCTCAACCGGCCGGCACAATGGTACATCTTCAACACCGGTCATATCTGTAGGATAAAAAAAAAAACAGTCATTAGGGTTATTATCATTAACTACAACTAAAATACCATAAACATTTTTGTTAATTGAAATAAAGGTAAAATAATAAAATATAAATAGTATGTGAAACACAAAGTAAATGTAAATAAGAAACTGAAATTTAAAGTTGAAGTACTAAAATTACTAACAAAAAAAAACTAAAACGAAATAAAAAATAAAACGCGAGCAGTAAAATAAAGACAAACGCAGATAAAGAAATTACTAAATTAAACTAAAATTTAAATAAAAACAAAATATAAAAATAAAAGTTAATTCAAAACATTAAAGGGTCACTCCACCCATTTCAACATTAATCTTTATTGAAAGTGGGTTATATATGTAGTCGAAATGTAAAAGAAATTTTAAATTTGGTGCCCTCTTGACCGAGAAAAGACAGAAAATAACTTTGGGGCGCATTTGTATGTAAGACAACAACTCCCACAATGCACCATGTTGCACAGCTCCGCAAGCCACTCCCACTAATCCAGAACAGCGCAAACATCAGAGAAATCGCTCTTCCGTCTACAAGAAGGCTAGCTGCCAAATGAGTTTAAAATTCATTTCACAAAAAATGTCTAGTTAGTTGTGGCGAGCAGGACGAGGGCGAGGGACGTGAGAGGACGACGCGAGTGATAATGAATGGCACCTGTGCAGCGGTCTCATATCTCTCACGGAGGAGCGGAAGCACAAAAGGAACAGGCCTGATTTTATGTTTTGTTTCTGTTGTGTGTGGCCAGCTGGCTTATACTTTTGTTTTGTATTTGTTTATTTTACTATTAAAACGTTTAAATGTTCGCCGGTTCCAGCCTCCTTCCCACAACAACGAACCCCGTTACATTGGCAAACTCATTAGTGAATTACTCGTTTGTATTTCTTTCTATATGGTGAATTATTGCATGATACCTGCATGTTCAGTCAGGCGAAACTAGGATGGTTCACATCACAACACAAACGTCCGTGTGGTCGTCTGATTCAGAGATTTCGTCCAGGAGAAACTGCCTTGTTGAAATTCTCTGCAGCAGACGGACTCTATCTGTGTCCGTAGCGCACAGCGAGAGCACACGCACCAGCAGTCCGCCCAGCTCAAGCCAGCCCGGGCTCCTCGTCCGCGACAGGCAGCCGCCTCCTGTTCCACCATCAGCCTCAGCTGCTCTTCACTATATTGGGGCTCGTAAAGATAGCCACGAACAGCGGATTCGAGCAGCAGAATTTCAAAATCCTCTTCTTCCATATCATGTTTAGTTTCTTCCGTCATTGTCGTAACTTCCTATCTCCACAGCGCTTGTTAGCTTAGCTTATAAACAAGATGGCTGATATTGCTTTCAGTATCTGCAAGTGAAGTCCCACCCACTGATCTGTGATAGCTCTGTTAGCGCATTAGGTCCAACCCCCTATGGGCGGGTTTGAAAGGGTGGGAATTTGTGCTTGTAGTCTATACAGAAATCCCCCCTTTTTACACTTCCTCCTACAATGACGTCAAATGACGATTTTTGCGTCATTGTAGGAGGAAGTGAAAAAGGTAAATAGTAGATTTCTCTCGTCTCAGGGGAAAATGAAAGAATGTTGCACGACCATTCAATAGTATGACTGGTTGTCTAACAATGGACCTCTTAATGCAAATGGGTGGAGTGACCCTTTAATAAAAACAATGAAAGTATATAAATAATACTAAAATAATAATAAAAACAATTTGAATACTTAGTTGTGTGTGTGTGTGTATATATACACACATAATAAAAAAAGGCAGCTTTAAATTTGTCACCGTTTAAAATGTCAAAAGTAATCGTACATCTTCGCTTACGTTGTGCAAGGGGTTATTGGCCAAAAAAGGATATTGGCCATGCATGAATAAGAAAAGTCCACATACTGAACTTGATGGTCTGACATGGGTTTTCTGACGTTCGCAACTTTGCTTTTTAGCACTCAACAAGCAGCTAATTACTGTGGTCACTTTCTATTCCAGGAGTGTGTGGGTCTCTGTTCTAACCCCTTGCACTTTATCCATGAGCTGTGATAAGCCTAGATCCCTTCGGCCACAGGGCTAAATTTGGTCATTTTTGTCCTCTAGTTAAGACATATGTAACACAAAACAAACACCCTCTCCCCTTCACTTTAGTCTCTTCAGGCTCACGGCCAGATGAACTGAGCCACCGGATCAGAGTCAAGCAGTGTCAGAGTGAGTTAACACACATCAAGGACACACTGGACAGGGGACAGTTCAAGAATCAAGACTGCTTTATATACACATACACACACTATTTATATATATATATATATATATATATATATTATTAGAGCTGCTCGATTCTGGATAAATTGAGAATATTAAGCATATAAAAAAAAATAACATGGAATTTATTAGAGGTTGAGAATGTTAATTTTTAATCAGTTTGAATGAATGATTTTAAGTGATAGTTTACCCCAAAATTTTGAATTTTGTCATAATTTACTCACCCTCAAGTTGTTCCAAACCTGTATGAATTTCTTTCTGTATGAGAAGATACTTTGAAGAATGTTGGTCACCAGACAGTTAGTTACCAAGAAAGAAAAAAAGAGAAAGAAGAAAGAAACTCATACAGGCTTGGAACAATTTGAGGGTGAGTAGATGACAAAATTCTAATTTTTGGGTGAACTATCCCTTTAACGACTCACTCATAAACTTCTTGTTAACTAAGAATAATAAATACAGTAGAAGTATTGTTTATTGAAAGTTCATGTTAATAAACAAAACCTTATTGTAAAGTGCTACCAACATGCATATTTCAGCCATATGTATTTTTTCCTCCCAATTAATTCCAAAATGAAAATTAATTTGAGCAACTAACACAGGTAAAGTAGACATTGGTATCAGCTATTGAAAGGCCCAATATCATTGATGCAGACTACTAACTTGAGACATACAGGTACAAATCAGACAGGCAGACCTTTATCTAACACAATAACTACCTGCATGCAAATGTCTATCAATTTCTTATCAGATTTTAACTGCCTGATATGTTTGCCCAGATAAAAAGTAACTTAATATAATTGTCCTGTGTCCAGTAAATCAACATGGTATGATGTTGATTACTAGACACACCAGCGAAACTCAAAGTAAAGTAAATTTACATGGCAAATTACCCTGGTAAATTCTGAGAGTGAACACACAGGCATACAGGACATCCACCACCCTAAAGCTTAAGGGAGCAAACAAAACGCACAACTCGTGCCAAAAAAAGCGTTTGGAGATGAATATGAATACAAAAGATTCCTTAAAGCGAGTATGATACACTTTCCTGTACGAAATATTTGAAAACATCGTGCCGGTTTGTTTCTGCGCGCGTGCACGAGGACGTCAATCATAAAACAACTGCAGAACTCAGTGAAATACTAAAATAATTTAAAATTACTGTCAAATACATCTCCACTCACAAACAATATATATATTGGATTTTAACACATAACGCATACTGAACGGCCATGACAAAGCAAGACGTGAAAAAAAAGCCTGGCTCCAAAGTTTGGACGGTTGCAAATTAAGCCATCTAATAATAGCTAGCATAAAAATAACCGAAGAACTCACCGAGAACACTACAGTTTACCAATAAACATGCGCTTAGAGTGTGTATTTCACTCATAAAACCGTTATGGTGTCAAAATGACAGGTAACTCAACTCTCTGAAGCGCGTCTCACGAGGCTTTTAATTCCAGTAATGCGAGTCAACAAGAGCTAAATGTTCGTCAAACTCTCTATTTCAGCTCTCAATGGATATGCGGTCTGCTTTCGGGCGCGAATTGATTCACACCTGGTCAAATTTGACCGTGACCAGAAATAACACGAGTTCAAGTCCCGCTTTTTAACTTTTAACGTGTCAATAAACACAGACAAACTCAAACTTACAGTGAAACACAATGACTTTGAAGAACGGGTTTTTGATAATTCACGACATGAAATGAGATAGTCACCTTCATCAAAGTTGTGGCACTTGTGGTTCTTTGCTGAGAAATGCCGATTCCTCGGTCCGCTGTCTTCCGCCATCTTGGTTCTGTTGAAACTTTGCTGCGTGACGTAACAGCCCCAGTTTCTCTCTCATACTGTATGTCAACTTCATGCTCTCATTCTGAGACGTTTGGGAAACTAAGGCAGATGGGTTTGTCTTTGTTGATTATAAACTTACAATACAATCCTTAGAATAAATGATATGTTACAGAATAAACGATACAAAATATATATATATATATATATATATAAAAAAAAGCCTACTCACGATTCTGCCTTAGCAAATTTGTGGCATACCATGTGGGAGAGAGAGAGAGAGAGAGAGAGAGAGAGAGAGAGAGAGAGAGAGAGAGAGAGAGAGAGAGAGAGAGAGAGAGAGAGAGAGAGAGAATGCATTTGCATGCAATGCATGGCCCCAGACTTTTGGAGCCCAATGTGCACAGAATACCATAGTGCAATTTTTTTCTGAGAAAATTATTGGAAACAAAAGAGCTGTTAAGATTTAAAGGAGGAACCCTCAGAGAGACAGCATTTCTAGGACTGTTCTATTTTTAGACTGACACATTTCAAATCCATTTGCACACATTGCCTCTCTCATAAATCTCCAGGCCAGAATGCCAGAAAATAACTATTGAAAAATAAATAAATGATGAATTCATAGAAATTTTAAAGGGAACAAACGTAGCCTACTAATGCCTGATAATCATTAGCAATTGACACTGTGGTTAATGTGGTTTGTGAAACAGTAATTATATTACAACAATTATCACTATCCAAATATTATTATTATTATGGTCATTGTAACAGGATTCTATCAGATTAATATTCAGATCAGATAGTCTTTAGTCTGTGGTCTGTACAATGTGTAAAAATGTACGAATCTATGAGTTTATTTTATTTTTGCATCAACGTTTAGTCTTGCAATTAAAAATGGTTGGTAAATGCATATTACAAAGTCAGAACAGCACCAAATGGGCCAAATATTCTACATAAATGCGCAGTACTGCCCCAATCCAGATAGTGGCAGTATGACACCAACAAATAGAAGCGATTTGGACGGTAGTGATGGGAGAAACGGAGAAACGAAGCTTTTCGTCACTTTGAATCAATTGAACCAATTGCTTCGTAAAATGATTCACTGATTCGAAGCGCTCGAAACGTCACACGCTGGTGACCCCTGCTGGTCAGAACGAGATAATGCAACAAAAACTCAGCTCAAACATTTCTGATATGTGTTATTATTTTATTAAACTGTAGGGCTTGTTTTGTTTGTTTTATGAAGAGTTATGGTTATTCATACCAATAAGAGACTTCTAATAACAACTCTTCCTTTTTCTTAAACAAATGTGTCATTAAATGTCTACAAATTAAAAAAATTGATCGGAGATCAGAACAATAATCTGGTTCATGGGTTTACATAGACAATCATCAACCATTGATTTTGTAATAATAATAATTATAACTTTTTACAGTCTATGAATTTATTAATTATAATAATAATAATAATAATAATAATTTTGCTTTAAACAACAAAACAATTCAACATACACTTTGGAGCTAGGTGAAGAAAAAGTAACACACACACACACACACACACACAATAAAATAAAATAAAATAAAACATACATTCAAATTGTATCATTCAAAGATTGTGAACTCAGAACAGATGAATGCAGTTTAGTTTAGTTTAGTACTAGTTTGAATAGTAGAAAAGTAATTTTCAAATTCTTTAAGGACTCATGAGAAAACTAATGAATGTGAAATTAGACAGTTAACAGATTAATTACAAAATGAATTATCATACTTTAAAATTATTTTTTATTAATTATCATAGGAAATCAAAATTAAAGACACATAGACACATAATACCATAACTTTTTCACATAACTACAACAATCAACCATTGACATTTACGTTTCGAAACAGTAACGAAGCCTCGTTTGCTGAAATCACGTGACTTTGGCAGTTTCATAGGCGCTCTGAATCACTGGTTCGAAACAAATGATTCGCAAAGGTTTTGAAGCTTCACGAAGCGTGTTTCGAAAGCGTTGATCTGACTAGACTAGAGGGCGGTACACTGTAGTTTATTAACTCAAAGTGTAGTCATTTGTACTGCCGTGTTGTAACTTTCTTTGCAATGGTGGACTTGTAAATCCAGTCTAGAGCAAACGAGATTATTCATAATGACCGAGGTGTGTAAAGAGGAGTTCGGCACTGCAGTGGGTCCAGTGGAGAAATGGACCCTGCGGTCCGGCAGTGTGTGTGTGGAGATCATCTCTCTGGGCTGTGTGATAAAGTCCATTACAACAGAAGATCGCAGCGGTCAAAGTGCGGATATAGTGTTAGGATACGATGATTTAGAAGGCAAGTTCTATCATTCAGTTAATGAGAGCGTTTCATTATTGTGCATGACAGGTATTTTAGACTGACATGTTAATTAGAGACAGCTTAAAATAATTTCTTAACCTGTTTTAACAATTTATTTGCTTATTCCTGCCAAATGTATCCTCTCTGTACAGAGAAAAAAATAAGACACAATAATGGTTCTTTAATATCACCTGTTTCAGAGAAATTGTTTCTGATTAAATGGAGAATACATGAAGGCTATTGCTTTTTAGAATTTTATTAGATTAATTCTAGTTTGTGAAACATCTAGTTTGTAGCCTATTACATTTCAGAATGTAACGTTAGTCATGCATTTCTCATGAAATTCTCCCAAAAACCAAATAATCCAAGCTGCCAAGTACACATTAATTTTACATTGTTAAACTTACAATGTCAACAATTGACTTTTGGAAACATACTTTTTCCTTAATCACATTTTCAAAGATTTCTCCATATGAAAAAGCAACTTGTAAGTAATAAAATGTTCCAATAAAACTTTTAATGTCTTTGAAAAAAATATCAAACTGACTAAAACATCCTTTTAGATTCTTTCATTCATAGGCTAAAACATAAGTAAAAAAAACAAACTATTTGCAGTTTTATCAGGGTGTTTGAAAAAGAAAGTTCAGTGTAGTACTGGCTAAGACATTATTAATCTAATTAAAAATGTTATACATAATATTTAAGAGCACTGAATCACTGCAGAGGCTGTGCCGACAGAAAGGCTGCTAATAAGTCTTCTCCTTGTTGCCCAATTTGTGCTTTTAACAGGCCAACACTACAGATATTGAGAAAGCATAGTTGCTGATGCCCTTTATGAAATCTATGTAATTGTGGGAATTGAATGAACAATTGCACAACATTTACTCGTTTTGTTTCACAAAAATCTTTTAAAAAAGATATTCATTATTCAAGATTGTTCGTAGATTTTGAAATAAACACAAGGAGAACTATCATTTCTGTAATCCAGAAAATCCTCAACCACGGGGCCTCTGCACTTGGCAGACTTCCTAGTGGGCCTCAAGATGACTTAAAATTATTCAAAATTAGACAAAACAAGCCTTTTAAACAACTAAGTTCAAGATATTTCTTTATAATGACATGGCTATTTTTTTACAGAATATACATTTTTCTAGCAATGCCAAGCTCTAAAATATTTTATTAGGTAGATAAATATATTTTTTAAATCCTTATCCAGTAAATGAACATTTATAAAAGTCATGCAATGATGCAAATTCATTGGTTAAAGAACCCTTAAAGAGATAGTTCACCCTAAAATTAAAATCAAGTCATAATTTACTCACCCTGGTGTTGTTCTAATGCTGTATGCCCTTCTGTCTTTTATGAACCACAAAAGAAGATTTTTTTTTTTAAATGTCCCGCTCATGCTCAACCATATAAGTCAAAAAGGTTGAGAACCATTGCTGTAATCAGCCAAGCAGGCATAGTTATTGGCAGATGATCTCAGAATAACCAAATGTGTGTGTATTAATCAGCCTCGTTGACATATCTGTCTATCGCTAGACAGAACTAACTAGAGATACTGAATGAAAATAATGATTCATTTCCTTTATTTCACTCTAGGTTATCTCTCAAACCCTCGCTACTTTGGAGCTGTGGTAGGCCGGGTTGCAAACCGCGTTGCCAAGGGCCGGTTTGTGATAAATGAGAAGGAATATAAACTGGCTATAAACAATGGACCCAATGCTCTGCATGGAGGACTGAAGGGCTTTGACAAGGTTAACAAACGCACATATGTCCCATTATATGTTATTTGTCATTTCTTTCATGTGAGTTAGCAGACATCGTTGCATCTGGCATTTCATTAAGGACATTTGTGTGGTGTAGGCCGTGTGGACCACAGAGGCTGTGGATAACGGAGTGAAACTGCGTCACAGTAGTCCAGGTGGCGATGAGGGTTACCCTGGGAACCTAAACGCTTGTGTCACCTACACACTGGAGAAGAACACACTGAGTGTGCTGTACCACGCACAGACTGACCATACTACACCAATCAACCTCACCAACCATTCATACTTCAACCTGGCTGGACAGGTAGGGCCACATCTCAGAGATTCTACTCCTCGTCTTACACTTCATGATTAAAGTCTGTGTGAATTGGAAGTTGCGATCGACTTGACTTCAGCATGGTGACTTATTTCCGTGTGAAATAGAATAGGTAACTGAATATGAAATAATAGTGGGGGGCTTGAATTTAGCGCACCTCATTGCCATTTCTAGCTGGCATCAGACTGACAGTTGGAGGGAGTGATTAAGGATGTTCCGCTCAAGCTGTCATCAGAAAAGAAGGGGAATTTTTGACCAAAGATTACAAAGAAAACCTTCTTTTGTCTTTTGTACATTAACTTGCACAGGTTTATTGTTCACCACAAAACTAGTAAAGTGCTCTAACAAAGTAAATGGGGTCAATTTTGATTTCATGCCAACTTTAATGCCTGGTACAAATTGTACGATTTTGGGCTGTTCCAGACAAAACATGATCAATCGTGGCAATTTCTGTGGTCGTGGCTCCACATCGTACAGTGAGAGAGGTTCAAAGACGGCCTCTTGCGACCAAAGATACTTTTCTAAAAGTGTCAGAAATTTAGCACGATCATCTCAACAGTGTGTTTGCTGCTACGACCTATACATCTACTGAATAGCCAATAAAAATGCAACATGAAATGGTGTATTGATCAACGCAACATGGTGCTGAAACATAAAACTACTTACCTCAAGCTCCATTTGCAAGATTGACATGCCAAGTTGGCCTCTTTTCCGTGTCCATATTCTCCTCTTTCGCTTCATCTTCTTTTTTTTCATCCTCAAAAAACCACAAATGCCAAAGTGCGATTCATCTTGCTCTTTGTTCACCACTATTATCTTCTATAATAACTCGTACAGTGTGATTTGTTATGAACTTATAGGACCCTTGGTGGCTATATTTAAGATTTTATGAATTGTCTTTGGTGGACACAGCTGGTGTATTCCTACTATCAATAAATGCTATTTAATGTCCCACGTTCTGCAGGGAACACCAGACATTTACGACCATGAGGTGACCATCTCATCGGAGTCGTACCTGCCTGTGGATGAGGCAATGATCCCCACAGGTATTATTATCACATTGTTTATTTTAGAGAATTAGAACTTTTTAGAAACTCTCCAGAACAGAAACTGTCAAACGTGGTTTTGTGTGGTTTCTTTACTATGTACAGGGGAGGTGAAATCTGTGGAGAAGACCCTATTCGACCTGAGAAAGCCTGTTCTTCTTGGCTCTAGATTGAAAGAGCTGCCTGGTCCAGGGTTTGATCACAACTTCTGTCTCTGCTCACCTGGTGAACCGCCACTGGAGAGAAAATGTGCTCGGTAACGTGTCATTTGTATTGGAATATTGACTTCATGATATAACACTTTATGCATCTTAATATTAGCACTCATGTTGGACTCTGTAGAGTGGTGCATCCTGGGACGGGTCGTGTCCTGGAGGTGAGCACTACACAGCCTGGGGTTCAGTTCTACACCTCCAACTTCCTGGATGGGACATTGAAAGGGAAGGGTGGAGCTGCTTACTCCAAACACAGTGCCTTCTGTTTAGAGACCCAAAACTGGCCAGATGCGGTTAACCAGGTAATTTAATCAAAAGAACATTTTCATTCAAGTGGTGGCACTTGATTAATGTTCACTACCACTGATCATTTGGGGGTCAGTAAGAATTAATTTGTAATACTTTTATTCAGCAAGGATGCATTGACATGCAGTCAATTATGTTAAATTGTAATAATATTTTACAATATTACAGTTTTTATTGTATTTTTGATCATCAAATGCAGCCTTGGTGACTTCTTTCAAAAAAATAAATTGTTTTAAATCATACCAACCGCAAACTTTAGAATGGTAGTGCACATTATACTATACATCATGTACAGAGCCTATTTGTGAACTTGTTTATATTTATGTAATGTGTTTGTTTAATTAAAAGCATAATGGTTCTCAATGAATGAGATGTTCTGTTCTCTGTCTCTCATCAGCCTCATTTTCCTGATGCTCTGCTGAGACCAGGAGAGACGTACACACATACAACACGCTTCACATTCTCAGTGGTGTGAAACTACATAAGCATGTGAATTTTACTTTTCCAACATTATACAACTGTACTTTTTCCTGACAACATTACATGTATTGCTACTAAGTAGATAACACAAACTTTTGAGTTATCTGGGTATATACTATAATAGAGTTACCCAAAAATGTAGTCATGTAATGAGACATCTATAACATTTTTACATTTGCACAAATTATATCAACATGATATAATGAAACAAATGTTATTTTGTAACACAAGTGCCAAAAACTGTTAGAAAAACTGTTAATTTTTAAATAAATAATAATAAATATATCCACAGATTTAATATGGTTTTATATTATTTGATATATAATATTATGTTTTTTTCTAAATACATTTGATAATGCATTTTTTGGGCAAAATGACATATTTCATTGTAGTCCTACATCAGCAAAGAACTTAATCATTCAAAACTCTAATAACGTCTTTTATATTTGACAATTCATACTTGCATATGCCTCATGCCATACATTTAAGATGCATGCACATGCCTGCTGTTAGTGCTTATTTCTGTAATATTGCATTTAAGCAGTCCAATAGGAATCTATTGAAAAGAGACCAAAGCTTTTCGAAACTTTGCTTGCATATTTTCTATGACATATCACCAGGGAAATGACAGAAATAAACTTTCCCATTGATTCCCTTAAATTGATTTCCAGGGGCATTTTTACGTGACATGACATTAACCCATACTCTGAATTTTCCTCTGCATTTAACCCATCCAAGTTAGTGCACACCCATTAGTAGCAGACAGTTAGTGAACACACACACACACACGGCCATTTTTGCTGTGGCGACTGAGAGCGATTGGGGGTTTTGACTTTGTTTTTTAAGAGCACCTCAGTCATTTCCTGCAAGTATTGAGACTTGAACCCGCAACCGCCGGGTTACCAGTCTGACTCTAACCATTAGGCCACAACTATATTAAACCCCATCTTTAACATGTTAATGTATGCGTAATATTATAGGTGAATGCATTTACACTACATTTGCAACTGTAAAAATAATGTTTTAAATACATAATTTTGAATATAGAAGAATTAAATGATGCTTTTAATTATGAAATTTAAACTGCCAGTAGGTGGCGGCAAATCGCTGTCATTATGTGTAAAGCATTCATTCCACTGGTTCGTTCAAACAGTGGTTTCATTCTGGAACATGACAAGTGGGTGCTTCTCATTTCTTATTTGTGCATCCTCGTTTCCTTGCCTCGTTTCTTTTCTTTGCGTTTTAGCTCCACCCCCTTTGCATGTGAGGGAAGGATGCACCTGTGTATCTTCGTTCATAACTCCTCAGGAAGCTTCCTCACTCCTTGGCTGCGTCCGAAATCGCCCTCATACCCTCATTCACTATACATTAGTCCACTAATATAGTTCACTAGAGGGAGTGAATGACAACGGGTGAGCGAGTTCGGACATTGAGTGTGCCAGAAGGTTGGCCGCTTTTGCATAGTTTGTGCTTGCTGTTTAAAAATTATTTAAAACTTAGCTAATTTGCAGCTCCAATAATATGAAAATATTTACCTTATAATAACTCTGTCATGGAAACTATGTATAAACCTTAGTTAAACAATTTAATAATCAATTAAAAAGACATTTATATCTATGATTTTACACTGTAGCCTGCATTTTGGAGTTGAAATTTTATGGAACCCCTAAAGGGACATGGTGATGGTGGCTTTTCGGGAGTCAAACCATTAATTAACCAAAAATTTTAAGTACTGTATGTCATCATTTACTCACATTAATGATGTTCTATCTCTACTCTTCAAAAATGTGTATGTTTCAAACAGTAACAGCTATTGTTGTCGCATGACCTCAACATGTTGTGAGTGATTTCCAGTTATCATTCTGTGGGTAGGAAAAAAAAAATATATTTTGCATTTAAAATGTTTTTCTGTAAAAATGCCTTGACATATAGCAATCTGATCAAATAACGAGTCATATTACTTCCTTTCTGTCACTGGAATTTATTTGCAAATTACTTTTTATTATACCATGCAAATAATACATTTCCTGCCAAAATAATATGAAAGTATGCCATCACAACCACAGCCTTTTTAGCATTTCACACAAAGCTGTACTGAATGGGTTTGTTGCATATATTTATGAAGGAATGTTACTTCAGGAAATAAAATTTTTCTTTATTAAATAAAAAGGCAAAAGTGCCTATTCAAAAATGTAACAATAGAACACATAAACTGTGAAAGGAAATGAAACATGAAGTTGACATTTTTAATCTTGATTACGACAACAGCACATTTCATTTCAAAACAAACAAAAATGAGGCTTAACTATGTATAGCTCCTGCTGATGAGTCACTAGAGCAGTCACACAACAGAATCCGGCAGATGTAAAGTGGTGCAGGCCTGCAGGGATGACTACAAAATCCGGAACACAGTGGTTCCCTCAAGATTTTCCTATATGATGAGGTTTTTCAATTTATGAGTAAAATTAGACCTGTGGTAAACATAACTTGACGCTACTTTGATGTTTTGCACAACGTAAATCACAATCTTTAGGGAATCACTAGCGAATTAGTCTTCTGGCTTTTGACGTCATCTCTGCACCACTCTATTATTGACCTAATAACCTGTGTCGAGTTTAAATCTCTCTCCATCTTTACAAACAAGACTCCCTCTTCTCCACCTGTAGTTTTTCTCCATTCGTTTTTTTATCACCATAATGGTCAGTGCACATGTAAAAAAAAAAAAAAAAAAACATGCATTTGTTAGGCAGCCTGAGCCTACTGAACATGAAGGACAGGATTGGAAAACGAACCAGAGAACATAACCTTGAGAGCTTGAGACCTTGAGATACAACCCCCCCCCACCTTGAGAGGGGGGGGGGGGGGGGGGGTTTGTATAAATCAGCACATGACAGATGTTCAGAGCCAATATATGAACTAATCACATAAACCATAAATTCTGACTAATTAGCTGCAGGAAATATACTTTTAATGGTTATTATTTACATTTAAACATTTAGCAGACGCTTTTATCCAAAGCAACATCCAAATGAGAACAATAGAAGCAATCAAACCAACAATAGGGCAAACATGTGCAAGTGCTGTGAACAGTCACAGTTAGTCTAGCACAGTACACGTAGCATATAAATTATATATATGTAAGTGTTAGTATTAATGGGTCAAGTGTTGACCCGCTCGGGTTGAGTTAAGCAGGTCATTCCACCAGCTTGGAAAAAAGGTCTGTGAAAGTGATTTTGAGCCTCTTTGAGATGGCACCACAAGGCGTTGTCCACTTGCAGAACTCAAGCTTCTGGAGCGGCCCGAAGTAGTGAGTTTAGTGAGTTTAGGTATAGGGGTGCAGTGCCAGTGGTTGTTCTGTAGGCAAACATCAGTGCCTTGAATTTGATGCGAGCGGCAATTGGCAATAGGGATGCAGCGATTACCGGATTTCACAATTAACCGCGCTTTAAAACGTCACGGTTAATTAATCGTAAAGACTATGCTACACCGAGTGTTCTGCAAAGTACGGAACTTTTGCACCTAACACAAAACGAAAACAAAGTTACACCAGCGGTGCACCAGCTTAAAGTGCCGTGCTCGTCAACCACTTTGGCAGAGGGACTAAGCAGCGACGCTCGATTTCCACCGAAAAAACACCTTAAGTGCGTGTTCACATATCGCGTCTTTTGCGCGCTCAAGTTCGTTATTTCAAATGTATGCGCGCTCATAATGGAAGCGACGCGGTCGTTTTTTCCAAGCGCGTCCGCGCCGCATCGAGATAAAAACATCTCTACTTTTCAGAATGCCGCAAGCGCACCGTTGGTCAAGTGACAAGAACTAACACAGCAATGACAGACGCCTCCGGAGCGCAACCGCCCTAGCGCTTTGGAAAAAGGAGAACGCGGCGTGCAACTTTCAGCTTTCAGTGCAACGTAAAAAAAAAAAACAATAACAAAAAAACAGCGGAATATTTTGGTTACGCAAGTCTGTGGAAAACCGAATGTGACGTGCTCTCAAGAGTTTCAGTGAACATTTAACTTAATATCCTATTGCTTTCTCCTGTCTGTGTTGAGTAAATGTTAGGATTTGTAGTTTTAATATGCCCGGTGTAAAACACTAACATAAGATCATGTAGACTTCTAGGACTACCAATTAACTGCATTTCAGTTATTAATAACACTGCATGAGAGATGTTCTCAGTTTCTTTCTATAATTTTTACTTAAACTTCAAACAAACAAACAAAATTAATGAGATTATAATAGATGATTTTCTAAAGGCACATGTAAAATTTGGATTAATAATTTAAAAAAGAGTATTAAAATAAGTACAATAATATTGGTGGATAACATTTGGACTATATTTTTTTTCTTTTAAAAGAAATACATAGGCCTAATATTTAGCTTGCATTTAATTCAATAGAGCCAGCCAAATACTTTGTTTATTCTTATTTTCATTGGGATTTATTATCCCTTTATTTATGTTTTTAAGTCAAATACCAACAAGATATTGTTTTCATGTTATCAAGTTTTCTACCTCAGGTTGAAAATAAATTTAGAACAAACTAAAAACTTAATAATTTTGTGATCTATTTCAATCAAATAGTCTTGCAGCCTTTGACTTAATTTGTTATTTTTAAAAGAAAAATGCTGGATGTTTACAAAGCACTTCTCTTTAATTCCAAAGGAAGAGATTGATTATTGTTTGCCATTTTATAATTTTGTACTGTGTTGTGGCAGCAATAAATAACACATTAAAATCTAGTGCTGAGTGTTCATGTGATATTATACATTAGTAGTGTTGTGAAATTAATTGATGCATAATAATCGTGATAATCGTTAAACCGTGATTATTTCTCAGACAATAATCGTACTTAGAAAATCTGTAATCGTTGCATCCCTAATTGGCAACCAGTGTAAATTGACGAAGAGAGGTGTGACGTGCGCTCTCTTCGGCTTGTTAAAGACCACACTTGCTTGCAGCATTCTGGATCAGTTGAAGAGGTTTGACAATGCAAGCTGGAAGAACTGCCAAGAGAGCATTACAAGTCCAGATAGTTCCTAGAACAAGAGTTTGGACAAGAAGTTGTGTTGCATGTGCCAATAGGAAGGGTCTGATCTTCCTAATGTTGTA